CAAATAGATCAGTGTTTTGTATATCTTTATAAACATTGCATTTAAGAATAAAACATAAAAAAAATCTGATGGTTGAAGAAAAGACTCCTGACTTATTGATTACATAAGAAAAATATTATATCTTTCCACTATTGTGAAGGAAGATAATAAAAATAAGAGAAATTAGTGAAGTTTGAAACAGATATGAAAGACTTTAAGAAAAATTGCTAGATGTCAGTGCTTACAAAAGATGAAATAATAAAGGAGCCTCTGTCAAGATGGATCAAGGATATTAAAATAAGCTACATTTGGAAAGAAAAAGGTGATATGATTGCAATTACAGCAAACTTTTAAAACATAAATTTAGATCTTACATTTAGGTCTGTGATCAATCTTGAGTTAGGTTTTTTTGTGTGTTTTTCTATGGAGTGAAGCATGGCTCTAAGTTCAGTCTTTTGTTTCTGGAAGTCTAGTTGTACCAGCACAATTTATTAAAAAGACAGTCCTTTCCTCCATTGGATGGATTTAGTACCCTTGTAAAAGATCAGTTGGTCATAGATATGCAGGTTTATTTCTGGACTTTTGACTGTATTTCATTGATTTATATGTCTATCATTATAGCAGAGAGGGCTTCAAAAACTTCATGGAAATCTTGAAATAAAAGATAATGGAATTTTTTCATGAACTTTTGAAGCTCCCTCATATATACCACAATAAAAAGTGGCTAAGAACAAAATTTAAGTGATTGATATGGGAATGAGACTCTATGAATATATATTTGTGTTTGGTAATGATTTTTGTATCATATAAATGTTTTACATAGACAATTAAAATGTATTTCAAAAATAACAAGCCCAAACCTGAAAACTCAGAATAGAAAAATGACTTCACTATATACTGATTTGTAAATTAATCACACAGAAAATTAACTAGATTAACTATTTAACACATATAAACATATCAAAAAAGATATAGATATAAAAGAACATTATGAAAAAATATGCTGGTATTTTGAAAATTGAAATGAAATGTAAAACTCCAGGGAAAAAAGCACAATTTTCTAAACAGACTTAAGAAAAAATTGAAAGTCCCAATATTACTCAAAGTATTCTGGACAAAGAGTTCAGGAGAAAGTAAAATTACTGACCAATCTCAATTAAATACATAAATGCAAAAAAAAAAAAAAAAATCTAAGGAAAATAAAGCCATGCTAAAATCAATAATAGATTTTTTGAAAAAGGTAATACATGACAAAGGTGTTTGTCCCAAACAGGACAACCTTTAGTTAACATTAGGAAATCTGTAATTGAATTTAATACATTAATAGAGCAATGGATAAAGGAGGATTATCAAAAACAATACAGGGAAAATTGTTGTTGTTGTTGTTATGTGCCATCGAGTCGGTTCCGACCCATAGCAACCCTGTATAGGGTTTCCGAGGGTGTAAATCTTTACGGGAGTAGAAAGCCTCATCTTTCTCCCGCGGTGCAGCTGGTAGTTTCGAACTGCTGACCTTAAGGTTCGCAGCCCGATTCGTAACCACTACGCTACCAGAGCTCAAGTATACAGTAAAATTAAACAACCAACAGATTAAACTACAACAGTAACAAAAATATTCTTGGTTGGTTGGTTATGTGCCGTGCAGTCAGTTGCGACTCATAGCGACCCTGTACAGGGTTTCCAAGGCTGTAAATCTTTATGGGAACAGAAAGCCTCATCTTTCTCGCGCAGAACAGCTGGTAGTTTCAAACTGCTGACCTTGCAGTTCGTAGCCCGATTCGTAACCACTACACTACCAGAGCAGCTTGGAAATAAAAAGGTAATTCTTTAAACTGGTAACAAGTATTTTTTAAAACCTGTAGGAAACATCATACTCAATTTGTCATTTTTAAATACCATTAGTCTGTCCCAACTCATAGTGACCCTGTGTAGCATTTCTGAGGCTGTAAGTCTTTGTAGCAGCAGAAAGCCTCATCTTTTGTACATGGTCGGCTTGAACAGCCTACCTTGTAGTTTGCAGTCCAGTGCTTGTCCTACAATAATAGCATATTAAAATCATTCGCTGTAAAATTAGAAAAGAGGATGACTTTTATACAACCTTCTGTTTAAGATAATGTATCTGTCAGACAATATAGTAAGTCTTCTCTCTCATTAACAAACAAGTGTGAAAAGAAACAAAATAATCAGTATGGTGTGATATGTCTTCACTGAAAATTCAAGAGACTCTCCAGAAACCATATAGTAATAGAGATTAACAAGCTGTCTGGGTGTAAGACTAATAGGCTGTTGTTAGTTGCCATCAAATCAGTTCCAACTCATAGTGACCCTATGAACAAAACACTGCCCAGTCCTACACTATCATCACAATTGTTCCTATGTTTGAACTCATTGTTGCAGCCACTATATCAATGCATCTTGTTGAGGTTTTTCTGCATTTTCACGGATCCCCTACTTTATCAAGTATGATGTCCTTCTCCAGGGACTGATCCCTCCTGATAATATGTCCAAAGTACATGAGACAAACTCTTACCATCCTTGCTTCTAAGAAGCATTTATTCTAACATAGATTTATTTGTTCTTTTGACAGTCCATGGTATATTTAATATTCTTCACTAATACATAATTCAAAGGTATCAATTCTTCTTCAGTTATCATTGTTCATTGTCCAGCTTTCACATGAAAATATGATTAGTCAGGTGCGCCTAAGTCTTCAAAGTAGCATCTTTATATTTTATAACTTTGAAGAGGTCTTTTAAAGCAGACTGATATACACAAAACAGTTGCACCAAACCAAAAACACTATGTTCATTGTGAATATACCATTCACAATAGCAGGAAATATAATGCATTGTTGCTGCCGTTGTTGTTAAATTCCACTGAGTCGACTTCGATTTATAGTGACCTTGTACAGGGTTTCAGAGGAACTTCTGGTAGATTTGTACTGCCATTACAGTTAGCAGTCCACTGTTTAGCCTACAGTGCCAAACCAGGACTCCAGGAATTTATTTGGTTTGCATTAATTATACTCAGAATAGAATAATGACCTAAATGTATGGTCTAAGACCATAAAACACTTAAAAGAAACTATAAGAGTAATGCTTTGAGACTCCCTAGTCATCAACAACAGATTTTTAGAGATGACACTACAAACACAAGTAAAATAAATAATTGGGATCTCAATAAAAATAAAAGCTTTGTTGTTAATGAGGATATTATCAGTGTAGTGTGTGTTCTAAACCTACTCACTTCTGAGTTAGAAGGAGCTAGACACAGAGAAAAGGAGGCAAAAGTAGTGGAAGAAAGATGCCATCTGAAGATTGCTTAGGACATGAGGAATCTGGGGGCACAGAAGCTAACACAGGATCTTCCTCCAGAACTGACAAAGAAAGTCTTCCACTATGTATAGCCAATGCAGTAAATTTGGACTTCTAACCTCCTACACTGTGAGAACAGAAATTTCTGTTCTTTAAAGCCAACCACTTGTGATACAACAGCACTAGGAAACTGAGACATGGATGGCACCAAAGGGAACTGATGGAATTGGCAGGACCGTGGTTGTCTGGAGAAGGGAGTCAAGAGTAGTGAAGCCTAATAGTGTACAGAGAATTAGAGGGGTATGGGAATAGGTTTCATAGGCCCTGCCACAAAGGGACCTAAAGCTTAAGGCACCAAAATTGAGCCAGCCTCTATTCCTCCCAGTGTACCTGAGAGGGGCCACTGTAGTCTGTATTCTTTAGATGAGGAATTCAAGGCTTAGAGTGACATAGGACCTTGTCTTTGGTCACTGAGGCACTACATGGAAGAACAAGATTGGAATTGTTCTTGACATAATGTCAAGTCCTACCTCAGCTCATATTTTTAAGAAATTCACACTCCAATGTATGGATCCCAAATATACTCATACATAAAGAATTGAAAGTGGAAGTGTTAGGAAGTAATTTATGCAAAAACAGAAACAGAGGCACAGTTTTGTAAAGTACATCATCACTTATAGAATTGAAACTTGAAATTTTGGGTCTACTATTATTTTCACTTTTAAAAAGTATGCCTGCTTGTTGCATAAAGTTCAAACATTACAGAAATGTGGAAAATAAACTGTGCAAGTGTCCTGTTCAATATTTGCCCATAATTCCAGACAGTTACTTAACATTTGTTACCCCTAGAAATGAAGTGAGATGCTGTCCTGTTACTGTTTGATTGGAAGTATAACTAAATGGCTGAACCCCTAAAGAAAGAGAACATGGAGCACCTGGCGTCAGATCTCTGAGGAAGGCACTGGGCAGACAGGTTGACTCTCCTTCATTCTGCAGGTGCTAGAGTGAGACAGAAGAGTACACCTTCAGAAAGGGGGAGTGGCAGTACAGTGGAGGAAAGTACAGGTGGAAACATGGTAAGATATGTGAAGAAGTCAGTTTCCCATACACGTGTGTGCAAATTATAGGAAGGTTCATGATACGGTCTTTGGAAAAATTCAAATAAGAGAAACAAGTAAAAAAAATTAAAAAAATAAAATTCCCCCCTTGTTTCTTACAATGCCCTTACTTGCCAATGAGTGTCCCTTGCAAGCTCCTGTTATGCCAGGTAACATACCCGCTTCCAGGTTTAACATATGATGGAGTCTCCAAAGGCCAATCTCAAAAGCAATGTGTGCCCTCTTACTGAAACCTACCTAAGGAGGCAAGCCTGATAAGTCTGCTAGGAACAATCGGAATGAACAGGGAGGCAGGGTCTTTAGGTCCTGGCCACATTGGCCCATGGCTACAGCAGGAGAAGAGCAATCAGGACACACAACAAAAAACACACAACATCATTCTTTATTATGAAAACAAACAAGGATCATGAGTGAGGGGAAATACACAGAACAACTGGTCCCTTGATTGGTTCAGTGGTGGGACACACATTATCTTTGGCTTCTTGAACAGCAAGGCTTATATCCCCACTCATGGGTTTGGGCTCAGGATAAAGAAAAGAGAATAAAAGGTGTTATAGATGAAGAGAAAGGCCACATTCAAGGGATCCTTTTAAGAACTTTGTTTGAAGGCCTCTTCTGGGATCTTGCCTTCAGCCTGGAGGAAGAGAAGAGAAAGAGTTTGGACTTCAGAAGAGACTGGAGTCCTGAGTTTCATCCCCAAGCCATCTTAGCTCCACCTTCTTGGCCTTTCTGAAGGCCTAGAAACATACACCTTTTACCCACTCAGTTCCCAGACCTAACCTTAAACATAGTGAAGACTTGTGCAGCTATGGTATAGTTCCACTCATTGTCCTCAAGGCACCTGGGGTGGGAGAAGAAAGGGTGATCTCTGTTAATACCAGTGTGAATACCCTGCTTACCTATGAAATGCTATCACTAAATCAATGCTATTTTTTGGCTATAATAATGAAGACCTTGGAAAAAATTATCTTCAATCCATTTTGAGTCAACTTTTGTATATGGTGTGAGAGAAGAGTCCAAATCTATTATTATGGATATCTGAGTGCCCCTGTACCACTTGTTTATTTTATCTGGTGTACTGATAAAAATTCATTGACCACAAATATGAGGACTTATTTCTGGGCTCTCAATTCTAATTCACCAACTCATATCTATCCATATACCAATAGCATACAGTCTTGACTACTATAGTTTTGTAGTAAGTTTTGAAATTAAGGATTATGAGTTTTCCAAATTTCTTCTTCATTTTCAAAACTGCTTGGCTATTCTGGGTCTACTGAACTTCCATATAAATTTTAGGTTCAGCAGTCTGCAAGGAAGCTAGATCAGTTTGAAGAGTGTTTCCATCTAAATTATATTATATCTTTCAATCCATGAACATGGGATGTCTTTCCATTTATTCGGGACTTAATTTATTTAAACAACAGAATAAACATATCAGAGTCCACATTTATACTTCCTCTGTTTTACTTGTTCCTAAGTATACTATCCTTATTGATGCTATTGTATTTGAAATAATTTCCCTAATTTAACATTTAGATTGTTCATTGAACATGTATAGAAACACCAATTATTTTTGTATATTGAGCTTGTATCCTGCAACTTTGCTGAAATTATTTATTAGTTCTAATAGCTTTTTAGTGGATACCTTAAGATTTTCCAAATTCAAGACCATTTTATCTGATCATTATTATTGCTTATGTTACGTGCCATTTCTGATTCATAGCAACCCTTTATAGAGTTTCCAAAGAGTACCTGGTGAGTTTGAACCACCAATATTGCAGTTAGCAGTCCAGTGCTTATCCTACCGTACCGCACTAAGACTACTATCTGATCATTACCTTGTTTTTTAAAAAAATCTTTACATATAAGAAGCCCTGGTAGCAAAATGGGCTATAAGCTGGCCTGCTAATCACGAGGTCATCAATTCAAATCTACCAATCACTCCATGTGAGAAAGACTGGGCTTTCTGCTCCTGTAAGGATTTACATATATAGTGTATAGGTAATGAGTTGGTACCAACTTGACAGCACACAACCACCACCACAGTATCAATATAATGGTAAGGCAAGTTTTGCATAAGCCTAATTTTTTTTTTTTTCAGAAAAAAATGCAAATATTTATTTTTCAAACTTCCCTATAAGTTCCCATTATTCACTTCTCAGCTCTACTCAGTTCACCCTTGTACATACACAATGCCAACACTCACTTTAAAGACCATTGGAGGTTCATCTTAGACTGGACAGAGAATGCTTGCACCATTCCCTGTTGTTCCTGAGAGAGAGTGGGCATGGAGCTGGAAGATGGTGTGTACACTGGGGTTGAGAAGGCCCTTTGAGTCTCTGCTGGGCTGGCTTCCCTCACAGACAGTTGGTCATTCACAATGCATAGGCTGTAGGAATAAGAGACTCTCAGACAGCTAGACAGATGGATAACTCCACACCCCCCAACAAGGATCTTGCTCCCACTCAGCAACCACTTTCCTCCTATCCCCTACTCTGCTTGACTCCCAGATTTCAAAGCTGATACTCTTTCTCCTCCCATAGAATTACTTTTGGAAAAATATCTACCAGCTTCACTAGATTTGTAGGTTTATCCCCATCCTAGAGATAGTTTCACACCCACCTCTTACAATGGCCCCAAGGAGGATACTCTCACCTTAATATTCAGATAAGGACACTGAGTCACAGAAAGGTCATGGAACTTAACCAAGTTTACATAGCTGTTTAATGCTAGTCACAGCCTATGCTCTTAACCCTAGGCAGAACTGCTTTTGAGAACTACCTTTTGTCATTCCTTAATATTGGGGAGATACTGAGAACTACACCATCACCACTCACTACAGGCTGGGATGGGTGTTCCTACGTGCCACCCACGACATAGCATTTACCTGGAGTTGTTGGCAGGAATAACTATGAAGATCCGAGTGAAGGCATAAACCTGAGCCTGAGACATTCCTTCTGCTTCAAGGATAAAAAACAACACCCTTCAGAATTGTCCATGCTTTTCGCACTCATCAGCAGCTTTACCTACTAAAGATCTTATTTTCCCACACAGGGACAACTGTCAACTGGCCGTCAAAAGGAGCAATCACCTCCCAGAAATAGGGCACTTACACTATGTCAGGCCCCATGACAATCTCTTCACAAGTTAATTTGCCTCATTTTTCACAACAGCCCAAGAGATGGGTATTACTAGCTCAATTTTGCAAATGAGACTGAGAGGTTAAGCAAGCAGAGTGAGAGACAGTCTGTATCACAAACATCTGGGCAGGTATGGACATAGGCTAGACTAGAGTGGGTTGTGGGCAGGGTGGGGAATGGAGAACAAAGAGGGCATAGGAAGGAATGGGATGAGGGAAACCTGAAATTTTTTTTTAAAGGTGCAGTGGGAGACACAAAGAAGGGACTATACAGATACTCACCCTGCTTGAACAGCCCGTTGACAGAAAAGCAGAGCATCTTTTCCTGAAAGAGCAAAACAGCTCAGCTTCCCAGAATTCTACCAAAACCTCCTTCCCACCTCTTATTTCTGGTCCTGCCTCAAGGAAAAAGCAGATGCTCACCGTCTGCACACACAAGTCCACTACAAAGGAGCTGAAGTCATGCTGGGTTTTAGGCAACACACTGAGGGAATCAATAACATCACGCTTTGTGTGATTCAGCAGTTTAAGTAGGTAGACTGTTCAGGGAGAAGAGATAGAGACAGTGCCACTCAACTGGTTCCTACAATTGACCTCTTCACACTTTCTCCCACCCAGTCTTCTCCCTCACACACTTACCAGGGTCCTTTCGTTTCTTCAAATTCCTACTACTCTTGGAGTACTTGCCCAAGCTACTTCTAGAAGAAAAAGAGGATACTGGTCAATATCTTCTGAGAAGTCATAGAACCCAAGACTGTCACCAGGTCTGTGATACTCACGGAACTTGACCCTCAGGTTTGAAGGAAACGGTGAGTGAGAAGCAGGCATCATCATGGTAAGCAGTGATGAGACCTTGACGGTCACCATAGTCAAAGATGCAGTAATACCTATGGAGAAACGGGACAGGCTCTCTGTAGTCTGGGCCCCTAACTATACTTGAAGGCTGCAATGGGTGGCCTGACCCATCCCTGACCTCCCTGCCTTGGGTCTCCAGGGGCACTTACTCCTGTAAGAATTGCAAGATTAGATTCTTTAAGGTATCAGGTCCTTTATAGCTTTCCTGTAATTAAAAAGCCACTTGTGACACGGCAGTTGACAAAGCCTCCCCTGCAACACACCAAATCCTGTTTTGGTACCTCCAACTCACCTTGCATGGCTTCATTATCTCAGAGACTTCAATTTGAAGAGTTATTGGTGGAGATATGTCCTGGCCATCCTGGGTAATGAAAGAAGTTATCAGTGCAAACCAGGGAGGACATACTAGATGAGCAATGAAATGAAGAGTTTCAGAAGACAGTGAGGGTCAAGGGTCAGGTGTGAATTGGCCTCAAAACTCCTAAGAGCCAGACTAAAGCTGATGTATTCTCCATGGGGCCTAGAATCCTCTAATATTATATGTAATGTGTGTGTATATGTGTTTTATGAAACTTATTAAACGGAGAATAGCTATGACTTTCCAGAAGTCTTTGTCCTCTAAAACAATGCGAAAATATAAACTAGACAAGAGTCAAAGGATTTGAGAGGCAGGTGTGCAGGCAATCAATGTAAGTGAGAGGAGGCAATAATGAAAATAAGCACTTACCAGACATAACAACTTGGGGAAACTATCCCGGATGGCACTGTCCGAAATCAAAAATAGGAAGAAATGATTGACAGATAATACAGCATTGGACTGCCTGTTTTGAACTAACGCACTGATGCCACAACAGAATCCAGTGTCCCCTGTGCATTTTGCAGCCCCTGTCCATTCTGCAGCTTCCATATTAAGCCTGAGTTCAAGTATATTTGGTCCACATTCCCTGTGGAGTGCTGGGCATCCCCACTATGTACTATCTTAAAGGCACAGCCTCTCTATATCTCCTTACAAATCATTTTCCTCTTCTTCTTCCTGGGAAGCTCCCACATGTATGGCCTTGACCGCTTTCTCCAGTAATAAAGAAGCATCATATAGAGGCCAAATTAGAGAGATTCCTCCCCATCTCTACCTCACTGATCTCCTTCTAAGTCCCCAGGGAAAGTTCCAAAGGGAAGAGGGAACAGGGTAGGTCACAGGGCTCTGCTACCTTACCAGGTATCCAGTGTTTTGCCAGACCTGACCCTGGATAAGACCAATGTCAGGGCAGGGAGATGAGTGAATGTTAGGGCAGGGTGATGAATGAGGCATGCTCAAGAGGCAGGAAGGGAATAAGGACAGAAAGGGAGTGAAGGTTGGGGAGAGGAAAGATAGGGGGACATAAGAAAGTGGAGACAAAAGAGAAAGACAAGGAAAAGGAAAGGAAAGAAGTTTTTTTGGGGTAGTGGAAGAACAGAGGAAGATAGAGGAAATGGCTCAATTGCTGCCAGCCTGTCCTTCATCTGCCCCTAAGCTCACCCTGGTCTGAGGTATGAATAGAAAACAGGTATTTGTTGGGCTGAGTCCATTGGCCTATGTGATCCTATCTAAGCTGTACATGGGAAACAAAGCAGTCACATGCAGGAGAACTTCCCTAGGAGTAAAGGTTCAGGTAAAAGAACAGCATCACATAGAGGATCTATAGCCCCACTAGAGTGCCTGATGACCCCTGTACAACTGTGCCTATCTTAGTTGGTCCTTTCCCTGAGGAATCAGACCATCTTGGTGCAACCAGTACTCTTTCGAAGGATCTGACAGTATGATGTGATGTGGTGAAGGAAGGAGGCAGTATCCCTGAGAAGACTGTCTTCCTGTCACCTCATCCTCCTCTGTTCCCAGCTTTCCATTCTTAGCACCTGCCACAGGAAGCCCTCTGCTCACTGCGGACAAACCGCTTCTAACTCACTGATTCAAGGAAACCAGCTTTCTCCCTTAGCAGTGCACAGCTTCTGGCATTGAACCAGAGGAGTAGATTCATGATAAAGCCACCCCCAGGCCTACACACTCCGTATGGGACAGGAAACTCCAAATGTAGGCCTGGAACAAGTCCGAGGACCCTTTTGGAGCAAGAGATAGAGGTTCCGTCACAGGATGGGGAGAGAAGCTCCATCTGAGCTCAGAGGCAGGAAGGCCTGTCTCAGCAGGAGTCCCTGGTCAGGAGGAACCTTTACAATCTAGGCCACCAGTATCTGCTTCAAGGCAGTCCCAGTGAGAGAGAAAGGCACAATGTGTATACACTTCTGATCCCAGGTTTTCCAGAAAGGGAAGAGCCCTTCTTCCTGAAGCACATTCAGTGAAAGCTATGTCCGAGAAGGCTGGGTGCAAAGAGATGGGACACACAGGGGATCAGTGAGCAAGCTAAAGGAAGGCAGGGAGACCTCTAAAAAGTGAGACACATAGAGGACAAGGTTGCAACCTCCTACAGACAGGCACTGTCAGCAGTTGTTCAGGCTGCCAGGAGCTGAAGGTTCCCAGAAAGGTTGACAGAGGTTACCTTGTTGTTGTTAGTTACCACTAAGTCAATTCTGTCTCATGGAAACTCTTAATTGTGCAGTGAATAACTTGCTCCATAGAGTGTTCAGAAGTAGATTGCCATCTGCTTTTTGAGGTGTCTCTGGGTGTGTTCTAACTACCAACTTTGGGGCTAGTAGTTAAGGGCTTAGTCATCTGTCCCAACCAGGGACTCCCCACCAACCTGATATAGGTGGCCTGGTCTGAGAAGGTGTCACACATTGGGTTTCCTTCTAGCCACAGCTCTTCAAGTTTCAGCCCTTTCATTTTCTCCAACTCGCTTGCTGACTTTAGCTGAGAAAAATGGGAGGACACAAGGGATAGGAGTCCCAGCAACCAAGAGACAGATGAATCCCGTGTACATTCAGTCCTCACCCTCACCCACAGGCAACTTCCTGTCATCATCATGATGAGCACTATCAGCCACCCTCTATTCAAATTAAATTTGGCTCTTACTTCTCACCTCATTGTTGGAGAGGTTCAAGATCTTTAGTTTGGGAGCTTTCTGTATAATGTCAGATAGGCCATCCAGCTGGTACAGTTTATTGTTACATAGGTTCAAGGATAACAGCTTTGAAGACGAATCAGAGTAACAGTTACTGTCTAGGGCTTCAGAGACAAATCTGCCTTCCATCTCATTCTTTCCACCCCTCTACCTTAATACCTCACCTCAGGGAAATTCTCTTCAATTATCTTCAGAGTGGCAGCCATACAGTTTTTCCGATTCAAGATCATGTCAATATCATGGCCTACTAAGTCTTCAGGAAATCAAAAGAAGGGAATCAGAGGGCTGAGCTGGACCAGCACCAGTACCAGACCCTCTCCAAATTACCATCACTAACTATCCCTCCCATGAATACCTTTCTGCCCTCACCTGTACTAGAATTACTTATGTCTACCATCGCATAACAACAACAACAACAACCATACCTGGGTCCAAATGGAAATTCTGGAGGTTAAGAGATTTCTGGGAGACATCATACCGTTTTTTTATGGTGATCTGCAGAAACAGAGATAAAGATAGCAGTTCTGAAGCATCTTTGGTTGTAGTGATGATAGCGAAATTATAGAGTGCGGAAAAAAGAGGTGCTCTGAGTGTAGACACATAACATGTCTTGAATCTGTATTACCTTTAGCTGCTCCATTTGTTCTGATTTAAATTCATTCAGCACAGAGTGGGATACAAAAGATGGGTTGACAAGGATTGATATCTACAGGAAAGAGATGTAGGGTAAGTATAAGAAAATCTACTACTATAAAAGATTGTCTAGTCCCTGGTCTGTCTTCCTGTCCCTGGTCTGTCTTCCTGTTCCCAGACTTGTCGTTAAGTACCATTGAGTTGGTTCTAACTAATAGCACTCTGGATAGGATTTCCAAGGATTAGCTGGTGGGTTTGAACCACCGACCTTGCTGTTAGTCCCTTGTTTATCTTACAGCATCATACCAGGACTACATCCCCAGACTAGGTACAGTCAATTCCCTCAATACACACCTTCTGGTTATCTTCATCACGTATCTGGTAGTTGGCAGCCTTCAAGGCAGATGCAGTGCTAAAATCCTTGACAAAGAACTGGGCATGCTTTCGCACATAGTGGAACTACAGGGAGCAAAGGCAACAGCATCAGAAGCTAATACAGATCAACTCCCTCCCCTGTGCCCAGTCATCTAGCTTCACTGTCCTCTCTTACATCAACCGGGGTGAAAGAAACATTGCAATGGCTCCGGATGGAATTCAATAGCCATGTCTTGTCATATTTTCTCCCATAAGGAACCTAAGAGTAAAAGAAAGTATAGGAAAGAAGAATAAAAACATGGAATTAATTAAGACTGAAGAATAGACCCAACCAAGTGTTCTTTACTGAGCTTTAAAAAGACTTCTAAAAAGGGGACCATTTACATTTATCTTTCTTGCCTTTCTAAAAGTTCTCCTTCAAATATTCAAATTAAGATGTTTGGCATCATCCACTTTTTTTTTTTTTTTTTTTTTTTAACATTCCAGAAGATCGGGAGGAGGTAGAAGAACAACGCAGATAGGGGAACACTGAGACAGGTTTGCATGGGCTAAATGGGACAGAGGTAAATAGTGATGTATGCTCAACCTTGGAACAAGAGGGCTCTGTGATACAGGAATTTGAGGCATAGTCTGAATGGGTAAAAAAGGGGAAATAATGTTAAGATGCTTTACTGTCTTATAAATATTGGGATCCCTTGCCAACTATTATAAAATGGAAACTTGAATTACATAGAAAGCAATGTCGGGAAACATGATTACAGAAAGCTTGTAAGCCTGTATTTAGCCTATAACTGATTGGAAGGCCTAAGGTTGATGATTCATGGAGGGGATTGTAACCATGGCAGTGAAACGATATACGAGAGAATGTATGTAAAACTAATATTCTCCCATATAAACTATCACATAATTCACAATAAAACATTAAAAAAAGAAAGAGAAAATAAATAAAACAACAATGTTTTTGGCAGAAAAAAAAGAGGTTCTACAACTTGCTGGGATGTAAAGGGTGGGATAGGGGAGGAAGGGGAAGGTGGAGCACAGGGTAGGGAATAGACACAGGATTGTCTGGATGCTGGGGGGCAGGGAATACACAAGAAGGGAGGGGGAATGATGGAAGAACAAGGCGAATAGGAGAACAGTTAGGAAGGTTTGCATGGATGTAATGGGACAGGAGTAAATAATGATGTATGCACAACCTTGGAACAACAGGGCTCTGGGATACAAGGATTGAGGCATGGTTTAAATGGGTAGAAGAGGGAAATAATGTTAAGATGCTTGGCTGTCTTTTGAATCTTGGTTTCCCTTGCCTACCATTGTAAAATAGACACTTGAGGGGGAGAGAAAGGAATAGCGAGAAACATCACTATAGAAAGCTTGTAAGTCCATTTTCAGCCTCTAACTGATTGGAATACCTAAAATGGGGCTACAACTTGCCCAGTGAAGGAGGCTTCCTGCAGAGTCTTTGCATTGGATAAAACTATAGGTGGAACCCTGAACCCCATCCAGAATCTTTTGTGGTGGGAAATTTCCACTTGAAAGGACAAGCAGACCAGCCTGGAGCAGCTAGAAGAACAGAAGATATTTCTTGAAAGAAAGACTGGCAGGAAAGATCAAAAACAATAACAGTCTGATTGACTACTACAAGAACAAGCAAGTTGTTCACCCCAGAGCCATCAAGGCCAGTGGTCAGGTCCCCTCAGGGCAACCCCAAGACTCAAGGGGAATACACAAGTAGGCATGTGGTCTGGCTGGTGACCACGTTGGTCATCAATAAGGGGAAGTGGTCAGAAAACAGCAATGAAGTTGTGAGCTAAGTCCAACCAGGTTTAATAGACTCCTATGAACTTGGATTGAGACCATATGGCAAGACCTGGGGACTCCTGGGCCCAGAGGACAGTGACATGGCCACAAAAGACTAGAGTGGGGAGTGAAGTGTCTAGCTGATATGAAGTGAGGTGAGATGCACAAGAACACCCATACTTGCAGATAGTACCCACTTGACCTGGCTTCATGGCTGGATGATCAGAACTCGACTAGAAGAAGAAAGAAGAGGAAAAAAAGAGTAATCTGCTACAATTTGATGAACTTGACCTATACTTATGGATGTAGTAGCTCAAAAGAGGGAACAAATCTTTATAGTGAGGATCATTCCCACCCCGTTGGTACACAGGGTTGACAGGGATGGGCAACTTAGACATTGGCTACTCAAAATGGGGGTCTACAAAGGCAAGAAGTGACTGGCTTACAAGCTTTCAAGAGGGAGTCTAGTTCCAGAGGGTGCGGGGGAATCCTCAGAGTGGTTTCCAATCTGCCTTTACAGGGCTAATGAAAGGAGATGGGGTAAGACTCTTGTGGTACAATAGTGAAGAATTGCTATCAGGACTGACTGTGAGAGTTGAAAATGTAAAGGTAGACATTTTGTAACAAAAGGAGGGGAGTAGTTGCTTTTGCAGTCCAGGAGTGAAGATCCCTGGGACCATCAAGGGAAAAGAGTGGAGTGCGGGACCCTACCCAGAGAAGTAGTGACACCAGAGATGGAGGCAGAGAAAATGACGTGAAGAGATGAACGGGCTGGGGACTCTGGAATCTGGGAGGGAGACGGTCTGTGTGTTGACGGCCAGGGGGTAGGCTTGTGGGGTGTACCTTTTGGTTGTTTTATGATGCATGGAGGGGGTTGTAATCATTGCAATGAAACAAAGTGCAATATGATGAATGTAAAACTAATGTTCTCCCATGTAAACTATCACATAATTCACAATAAAAACTTAAAAAAAAAGACCCTCAAGAAAAACCCAAAATAAAAATTGCAGTATGATTGGCTACTACAAGAACAAGCAAGTTGTTCACTGAGAAGCCATCAAGGCAAGCAACCAAGTCCCTTCAGGACAAACCCCCTCCAAGACTAAAACTCAAAGGGAATACATAAGTAGGCATGTAAGCTTGCTGGAGACCATGTTGGTCTACTGGTGAGTGGAAAAGGAAGAAAGGCAGCAATGAAGAAATGAGCTGAGTTCAACCATATTCCATAGACTACTGTTGACTTGGGGATGAGAGAGAGAAGAGGAAGGGGTGGTTGGTCCGATGTGTAGTGAGACCTTGGCACTCCTGAGCCCATGGACAAGGACATAGTCACGGAAGGCTAACGCTGAGAGTGAAGCATCCAGCTGATATGTAGTGAGGGGAGACGTACAAGAATGCCCAAACTTACAGAGAGTACCCATTTGACCTAGTCTCAATGGCTTGGTAATCAGAACTCAACTAGAGGAAGACAAAAAAAAAAACAAACCAATTTTTGATAAAGGAAACAAGTGCAAATTGCTACAATTTGATGAACTTGACTTATACTTATATATGTAGTAGCTCAAAGTACCAACAAAGATGGAAGGCATCTTCACATCAAGTATCAATCCAATCCCCTCTGTATACAGGGTAGATAGGGATAGGCAACTTATATATTGGCTACCTAAAATGAGGGGTGATAAAGACACAAAGTGACTGGCTTACAAGGTTTCAAGAGGGAGTTTATTTTAAGAATATGCAGGGGAAGATATAGTTCCCACTGAATAGTTTTCATCTTGTCTAGACGGGTCTGGTGAAAAGAAATTGTGAAAAGATTCTTACGATTCAATATTGAGTAATTGTTATGACTAATTGCGACTGTCACAACTGTAAAAGTAGAAGTTTTGTAACAAAAACGTGGCAGTAGTTAGTCTTACAGTCCAGAAACAGAGGCCCCTAGGATCATCAAGGGAGAAGAGCACAAGCAGAATGTGGGATCCTATCCAGAGAAGCAGAGACACCAGAGATGGAGGCAGAGATGAGGACATGGAGAGAGGGAGCATCTGAGGACTCTAGACTCATGGAAAGAGAGGGACTAAGTGCTGGCGGCCAGGAGGCAGGCTTGCTGAATGTGTACTTTAGTTGTTTAAATGATTATATATTCCTGAGTGTTTTTGTGTACATGCCCCCATCCCCCCTAAAAAAAAAAAAAGACCGAGGGAATGGAAGCAAATACTGTTGAATGCATAGAGGAGATTGTAATCATAGCAATGAAACTATGACTGTAAAACTGATGTTCTCTCATATAAACTATCACTCAATTCACATTTAAAACTTTTAAAAAAAGATTCCAGAAGATCCTAACTAATGCACACCCTGCCTGCTCCTTCTACAAGGACTCTGGAGACTCTAGCTCACATTCTCCCTCCCCTCCAACATATATACTCAAATTTGAATCAAACTGAGTCACAGTGCAGAAAGTTGTTCTAGCTCCCACCTTTGCCTTTTCCCACAATTGTGCTGGCATTCCTGTCAGCCTTTTCCCTTTTATCATTTCTCTGAACCCTTAGATCAAGGCTGGGGAACATCGGCCCACAGGCCTCATTTAGTCTGGCCCTGAAAAGGCAACCACAGTTTCAGCCATCACATTAGGGGTGAGTTAATTAAATGTTTGACCAAATATAGCTGGCTAATTTTTAAGCTGATAATTTCATATGGCTTGTGAATGATGTTATAAATCCTGGCAGAAAAATGGTTCCCCACAATTGCCTTAGATCATAAAATATTTTCTTAGCAACTTTCCTAATAAAAAAGATTACCAACTTCCCTGCTCCCAGTAAAGTACCTAGCATGTCTTCACAAGACCATCATAACTCCACCTGAGCAGTCCTATCACTGTCACTCCCTTTGCACACTCCATGCATTTTCCGAGGACACTCACTGTTATTTTAAACCAGTTCCTGGAGTCTTCATCCTTCCAATTCTCCATTTCTTTTTTTGGAAATCTATTTCTATTACGCCATCCCATTCTTCTATTATTGAATCGGGGGGTTCTGTGGAAAAACAGATGAAGAAAGGTTTCCATAAATTTTTAGAATGCCTTCGACATATCCTCACTTCTCTGATGGCAGAGATATAATCATGGTTGTTCAACCATTATTCCACTTTAGTATCCTTTGGTTTTCAAGTGGGTGAAGAAAAACATGATACCAAGAATGATAGTTGTATACTCCCAGTTGTTGCTACATGCAAACCAAACTGCCTGGTCACTTACTGTCTTATGTGGAGGTGTTTGTGGGAATCTCTTGTTGTCACCATGTGATCATCCTCTTGGAGGTATGAAGGTCGACGCTTATACCCACCCCTTTCATAATGAAAGGTGTTTTTATCACGATTCCCTCGGAAAGATCCCCAAACTTTCTTTCTTTCCTTGTATTCTGAAATTGGAAACAAAAACACATGTTTGAAGACAATCATGGGTTCACATATCATGCATCCCATCTTGGGCTAACACCACAGTAGAGCAAGCAAAGTGCTAACCTATCCTAAAGGAGAACCACAAATGCCAGTAAGCAAACTCTTCCATCTAGCTATGAGAACTTATCTTACTGATGGCATCAGGGGAGAATCCCAAAGAAGGTGGTAACTCTGTGGAATATTAAAAAAAAAGGGGGGTGCGGGGGGGGCAAAAATTTATAATGAATAAGGGTGGGAATGTCCATTGGTTAGATTGGATTCCATCCATACACAAAGAAGGCATCCTAATTTTGCCTTGCTTCCCAACTCTCTAACCATTACACCAAGACCAAGAAGACAACCTCTCTCACATCTCCCAAATACATTCAGCCACCAAAACAACTTCATTATCAGTTGATTCTGACTCATAATGGTACCCTATATATAGGGTTTCCAAGGAGCAGCTGGTAGGTTTGAACTGCCGACCTTGTGGTTCATAGTCCAGTGCTGATCCTACAGCCACAACAGGAGTCAAATAACAGGCAGGACTGAATTAATAGCTTCCTAAACTGGGAGTCCTAAGGAACTCTGGTAGCGTAGTGGTAACGAAACGGGCTGAGAACCATAAGGTGAGCAGTTCGAAACTACCAGCTGCTCCGCGGGAGAAAGATGAGGCTTTCTGATCCTGTAAAGATTTATAGCCTCGGAAACGCTGTTCAGGGTCGCTATGGGTCAGAACCGACTTGATGGCACTTAACAACAATAACAACAAACTGGGAGTCCTGGTGTGATGCTGTAGGATCAACACTGAACCAAAAGGTCAGATTGAACCACAAGTCCAGCAGTTCAACCTCAGCAGCCGCTCCTCGGAAACCCTATGTTGTCGGTGTTGTCGAATGCTGTCCAGTTGGTTCCAACCCATAGTGAACCTGTTAAGAGTTTCCGAAGAGTGGCTGGTGACCTTGAACTGCTGACCTTGTGGTTCAAACTGACTTTGCAGTCCAGAACATTAGCCCACAGTGCCACATCAGGACTCCTGGAAACCTTGTACAGGCTCTCTATAAATCGAAATTGATTAGATGGCACTTAACAACAACAAACTGTCTACCTACCGCTAGCCTTGCCATCAACAACATTTTGTTCAAATATTCAAAGTGACTCACACTTTCTTATCATAAAATGCCTTTCACTTTCTGTGATCTTGAACCAGCTCATATAAACAACCTTTCCTAACTCAGCTCTTCTATTCCAAGAGTCTTAACGATTCACTGTAATTAAAGGTGCCAACTATAATTTCCAAGTGTTTAGAGATTTTCATTTTTGCATTATACTATTGATCTCTAGCGTAGTGGTTACAAATCGGGCTGCGAACCTAAAGGTCAGCAGTTCGAAACTACCATCTGCTCCGTGGGAGAAAGATGAGGCTTTCTGCTCCCATAAAGATTTATAGCCTCGGAAACCCTGTACAGGGTCACTATGAGTCGGAACAGACTCCACGGCACACAACAACAACAACAACATTGATCTCTAGTTTGATTCCATTATGGCCTGAGAAAAATACTCAGTATTTCAATTACTTAAAATCTGCTGAAGTTTGTTTGATGGTCCAGGAGATGGTCTATCTTGATGAATGTTATACATGAGTATTTTAAGAGAAAAAAAGAACTTTGCTGTTATCAAGTGGAGTATTCTATTTATATCATTTAGATCCTGTTATTTTATTGTGTTATTCAGATAGATCTTCTATAACTTTGCTGATTTTCTGTTTAGTAATTCTATCACTTCATGAAAGAGGGTTAAATTGGCCTTTTTCCTTTCAGTTCCACCAGTTTTTGCTTCATGTACTTTGAGGCTATGTTATTGGTGCATACACATTGAAGATTGTTATATCTTCCTGGTGGGCTGATTCTTTTATCATTATGTAACGTCACCCTTTGTCTCATAATTTCCTTTGGTATGGATTACATCTCAATGTAAGGAAAACAAAAATCCTCACCACTGGACCAATAAATAACATTCTTGTCAGAAGAGAAAAGATTGAAGTTGTCAAGGACTTCATTCTTCTTAGATAAACTATTAACACTCACGGAAGCAGCAGTCAAGAACTCAAACGATGTATTGCATTAGGAAATATGCTGCACAAGACCTTTTTAAAGTGTTGAAGAGCAAAGATGTCAGCTTGAGGACTAAGGTGCACCTGACCCAAGCCATGGTATTTTCCATAACCTCATATGCATGCGAAAGCTGGACAGTGAATAAGGAAGACCTTAGAAGAATTGATGCCTTTGAGTTATGGTGTTGAGGAGAATACTAAAAGTGCCATGGGCTGCCAAAAGAACCAATAGATCCGTTTTGGAAGAAGTGCAGCCAGAGTGCTCCTTAGAGGCCAAGATGGCCAAACTTCGTCTCTCATACTTTGGACATATTGTCAGGAGGGAACAGTCACTGAAGAAAGATATCATGTTTGGTGAGATGGAGGGTTGGAGAAAAAGAGAAAGACCCCCAATGAGATGGATTGGCCAGGTGGCAGCATCGATGGACTCAAGTGTGGCAACAGTAGTGAGCTTGGCCCAGGATCGGACATTGTTTCGTTCTGCTGTGCATAAGGTTGCTATGAGTCGGTGCCGACTCAATGGCACCTAACAACAACAACAACACTCACTGGTAGTAGTTACTGTGCCTCATCTTCCCAATCACCCCTGCTAACATATCTAATTTACCATGTGGATAAATTTGAAAGTTCTTTTGACATCTAAAGAATGAGATAGTCTCAATTCTCTGACAACAGGATTCTCTACAGGTATTATTTCTCCCACACTCGGTGGAATCAATATACCATCAGATTGTAATGCTAACAATATTAGTGGTTTGGCGCAAATGGAGAGTTAGAACCCAGCTTCCTTTTGAGCTCTAACCTTTAATGGTTAACTTCTGATCAAGGTAGCATCTGATCAAGAACTGATGGTATTGAAGGAAGAAATTCAAGCTGCATTAAAGGTGTTAGTGAAAAACAAGCCTCCAAGAACTGACAGCATGCCAAATGAGATGCTTCAACAAATGAATACAACACTGGAAGAGTTCACTCATCCATACCAAGAAATCTGGAAGACAGCTACCTAAGTGATGGCAGAAATTCATTTCTGTACTCATGCCAAAGATAGGTGATCCACCAGGATGATGAACTTATTGAACAATATCATTAATATCACACACAATTAAAATTTTTCAGAAGGTAATTTAAATATGGTTGAAGCAGTATATGAAGAGGGAATTGCAACAAATTCAAGCTGGATTCAGAAGAGGATGTGGAACAAGGTAATGTCAGATGGATATTGACTAAAAGCAGAGAATAAAAGAAAGATGTTTACCTTGTTTTATTTACTATGCAAAGGCATTCAACTGTGTGGGTCATAAATTATGGATAACATTGCAAAGAATGAGAATTCCAGAACACCTAATTATACTCATACAAAACTTGTACATAGACAAAAAGGCAGTCATTGGAACTGAGGATACTTATGGTTTAAAATAAGAATATGTGGGTCAGGGTTGTATCATTTCACCATACTTCAATCTATTTGGTGAGTAAATAATCCAAGAAACTAGACTATATGAAGAAGAACACAGCATTAACAGAGGAAGGCTCATTAACAACCTTGCTTGTTGAAAGTGAAAAGCACTTGAAGAACTTAATGTTGAAGATGAAAGACAGTAGTCTTCAGTTATGGATTAAACCTCAACATAAAGAAAACAAAAACTCTCACAAATGGACCAATAAGCAACATCATAATATGTGGAGGAAAGATTGAAGTTTACAAGGATTTTATTTGACTTGAGTTGACAATAAACGCTCATGAAACCAGCAGTCGAGGAACCAAATGAGAGTTTTACTAGGCAAATCTGGTGCAAAAGATCTTTAAAATGTAAGAAAGAAAAGATGTCACTCTGAGAACTAGGTTGTGTCTGACACAAGTCACTGTATTTTCAGTTGCCTCATAAGCATGCAAAAGGTGTACAATTAGTAAGACCAAAGAAGAATTGATACATTCCAAGAAAATGCATAGATCAAGCACAAGCTATTGTTAACAATATAACAATCATGAAAACATGATTATATCTGTTTAAATTATCATTATTATGATAGTATAAACTGATGAAAATATCACAGCATTGGATCACAGAGTGAATCCAATATTCTCTGCAGAGAATATGAGTAATTATTTTTAAACATTTTAGCCCTATTTTCTATTTTTCTACAGAAAATGAATCAAATTAGTTTAATTCACATTTTTAAATGACTGCTGAAAATGGTAGAAAGGGGATTCTCAAACCACAATAACCTCAAGAGAAACTAAATCAATTTGTGACAATGAACATGTTGATGGGAATTCAGTGTCAGGGAAAGTATATTAAGTGGTAGAGTAATGGCTCATGGTCATTGTACAGAATATAGGAAGAGTCAGAGTAATTTGGGGGAAGATGTATTACTTCAGGAAAGATGTCACAGAGGGAAACATTTAAAAGTTGGCTAGC